TTTACTGATTTGATAAAAACACAAGATTTCAAAATGAGGTTTTTTTTTTTCAAGAATATGTCATCCCAAAACCCTATGGAATTGTTGATTAAAAAAAACTCGATCGGACTTGTGGCGGACACGATGCATTTCTTTTCCTCACGTTGTCCTTTTTACTTTATTTTTCCAGCACAACAATGTCCTCTTCTTAATTTTAGGTTGTGTTCTTGTAAATGTCTCGGCACATGTTTCTTATTGTTTTCAGAAAACTAAAAAATGAATATTTAATTTTTATTACTTTTCTATTTAAATCTCCCAGCTCTAATTTTATATATTAACATTATTATTTTCTATTTAAAAATAAATGATAGATTTGTAAAAAAAGAAAAAAAAGGCCAAAATCTGGCATAATGGGAGCTTTTTATCTCCTTCCTTTTCTCTTTTACCCCTTGTTTAGATATTTTCTTTTGGGAGCAAAGAAAAGAGAGGAAAGAAAATTATTTTTCACTTGTTGTTTGGATAAAAGTGGAAATGAAAGGAAAGAAAGTATATTTTTTTTGTTTGGATAATTTTAAAAAGAAGGAGGAAAGAAAATGTGTTATTGTATATTTACTATAATACTCGTATGCTTATATTTCTATATTTAAATACTTATAATAAATTTGTATTAATATTTTTTTTATGAAAATAACACAAATGATAATAAAATAAAAATCTAGCATGTAGCATCTATCCGAAATGATAAGATGGATAATGAATCGTCTACATAGAATAATCGATAACTCGTTTATTAATTAATTAATTTAATAGCCAATTTAGATTAATTATCAACATAAAATTAATTTAAATATGTATAACATGTATTATTATCTATGCATATACTAAGTTAGTTGCTTTTACCCATCATTTTCTCCTTTTTTTTTAGAATAAAAATTACTATTTAGCAATTAAAAAAAAAGAATATATTGTAACATTGCGAACAATCATAGAAAGTCAATTGAATCACAAAAAATGAGATAAATCACAAATAATTTTTATTTCTTCTTTTGTAGTAACTCCAAAAAGTGTTCGAGAGGTCGTTTTGAGGGATATTTTTTTGTCTATTTTGGTGAGTTTTTTTGGGGGGCTTTTTTGGTGGTTTTGAATCTAGTATGAGGGTGTTTTTGGAGCTTCTTTTGTGGTTCAAATGGCCTTTCCAAAAGAGTTGCTCCGTAAGAGTTTTGGGACTCGTTGGTAACAGTTTCGGGATCGAGTTTGGGGCTTTGAGTAGGTGTTGAGTCCGTTTTGGGGTTGGTTTTAGGTCTATATTTTTAGTGTGTTTTGAGGTTTTGTTTGGATGGTTTTCAAGCTAGTTTGTGGGTGTTTTTGGAGCTGCTTTGGTGGTTTAAATGACATGTCCAAAGGGGTTGTTCTGTAAGGGTTTTGGGGGCTATTGGTAACAGTTCAGTGGTCGAGTTTGGGGGCTTTTGGTAGTGTTCCAAAAGAAAAAAAATCGACCTAAAACTCATAGGAGTCCAATTCCTAATTGAGATTTTTTTAAGAGAAAGACGAAATTGAAATCGAAATAATGAAACTAAGAGCGGAAAGAGCATAAAGAAGACGCTTACCTGCTACGGACATGTCCACGATTTGCGAAAAAGAAGCCGTTGGTCCGTTGCTAGACCCCATTATCATCAAAACTTTGGAGCCGCGAATGGATGTAAGTTTCGCTGCTCGGAAACACCCGGGGAGACACTTTTTGTTGGATGAACTAAGGAGGAAAGAAAATGTGTTATGCGAATGGATCAACTAATGCAAGGTTCAATAACTTGATTTTTGCGGATCCGTTACTAATGATAAAGGATGCACGAGGAAGAGCTGATGGCAAAGAAAGAACTATAGCGAGAGAGAGAGATTGTGTTTGCAGAGAAGGGAACGGCTAAAGGTAAGGGCAAAACTGTAAAATGCGAAAACAAAAATACATTTCTCACGTTTTTCTCCTCGTTTCCTCCCAATTTTGAGAGAAAAATGGGTCCTATTATTTTTACGTTGTTTATTATTTTGTTTTTCTTTCCATTGCTTTCCTCCTTTTTCCCAAATGGTGGAAACTTTTCCTTTCACCCCCATTTTCTTTCCTCTCCCTCACTTTCCTCCCTATCAAAACAAGGAGTTAGTTTGTCTCTCATCTCATCTCTCCAGTTAAGGACTATAAATATATTTTGAAAATATAAGGAATAAAAAATATTTTGTGAAAACATAAAAAATAAAAAATATTAAATTTACATATGAATGCTAAAAAATAATAAAAAATTAATGAAAAAATCACCGGCAAGAATGACTCAAATTGCCACCTAATGAATAGTTATATAATACAAATGAAAAGTTTATGAATAGTAATTACCTCCTCTCTCTTAGGTTCTTTGTAATAAAAGGCACAAAACTCTAAAAACAATTATTATACAAGAATATAGGGGAAAAAACCTTATTTTGAGAGTCAGGTTTTTTTTTTTTTTTAATCAAATCGGCAAATTAACCCTGAGTCAATAACTTGGCAAACTCAAATTTATGTTCGTCACCTTTAGGTAATTGAATCCAAATATCCTTGATTCTTAAAAAAAAAAAAAAATTATTATTATTATTATTAAACGAGAAGTTTAAATTAAAATTAAGTAACCCCCCAACACCCCCCCCCTGTTTACTTAAAACATGCAATATGGGGTGTGAGGTTGTAAGGAAATCATGTGGGGATCCAGCATCAGTTTTGTTCACTTTTTTTAAAAAAACTTTGAAAATGATTTTTAAAAAAATTAGAATAGAGCAATTTAATCAAAATTATGTACTATGTAACTAATATGTTTTGCATCAACAAATTTTTGAATGTTTAGTGAGAATTAAAAATAAATGGATTGTATTGTCTAAATATAACAAATACATTATGGAATTCTTCAAGCTATTTTCATAAAATTTAATTTACTGAGTTGATAAAAACACAAGATTTCAAAATGAGGTTTTTTATTTTTTTTCAAGAATATGTCATCCCAAAACTCTATGGAATTGTTGATTAAAAAAAAAACTCGATAGGACTTGTGGCGGACACGATGCATTTCTTTTTCTCACGTTGTCCTTTTTATTTTATTTTTCCAGCACAACAATGTCCTCTTCTTAATTTTAGGTTGTGTTCTTGTAAATGTCTCGGCACATGTTTCTTATTGTTTTCAGAAAACTAAAAAATGAATATTTAAATTTTTATTACTTTTCTATTTAAATCTCCCAGCTCTAATTTTATATATTAACATTATTATTTTTTATTTAAGTGCACGCTGCCTGTACGAGAGAGTTCCTATTTACCGCAATCAAACTTACTGACAGTGAAGAGAGGGACATGATACTGGCAGGCGTAGCGCGAAGAAAAGCAGCAACTTAGCTCCAGGCCAAAAGGGGAAAGAGCAACTGGGGGAACGTACAATAAAATAAGGTTTCACGTGATAAGCACTGTAAATGATATAATTATGGAGCAGAGAGTGGGGACTTTTCGAGAAAAGAAGGATAAACTTCAAAATGGGCAAGGGAGAGTGGTGAGCCAGCTAATTTGTAGATAATTTCTTGTCAATTTGCTTTCTCGCCATTTTACAGGATTAGAATCCTATGTCCTATATGTCCTATTATGGAGAAAGATTAAACTTTTAGTCTATCTGATTTTCAGTATGAGATGGGGGCAATACTATGCATGGTCATAGTAAATTATAAATTAGTCCATCTTTTTTTTAAAATAAATTAATTAGTTTTTCTAATTTTAAAAATAAATATTTAATCTTTTTAATTAATAATAATCATAAATAATTTAATAATTTTTTATTTTATAATATTTTTTCTCATCAATCTTTTCATATTTTTATTCATACCTTATTTCTTAAAATAAAAAATCAAAATAAATGAAAAAATAAATAATAAATAAATAATTTTTAAAATTAGAAGGAATAATTAATTCGTTTCTTTAAAAGAGAAGGACTAATTTATAATTTACTCCGCATGATCATCAGATTTTGCACCTTTCTGCACTGTCGATTTCCGTGTCTTTTGCTCCACGTATCGGATTCTTCAGGCCTCAAAAACAGAGCTGCACCAACCCCTTGGCTGTACAGATGATGCGCATTGCGCCCTCCAGAGGCAAGTCCTTTCCTTTTCTGTTTTTTCCCTAGCCAACCTAATTTCACCAGGTTTACTCGAGTAAAAAAATAAAATAAAATCTCTCCGGTTGTTTCTTTTTTCTAAATAACAAAGCTATAATATATAAGATAGTTAGTTTCTAAATAGAACAAAATTCATTTGTTAGTTGTTGATTAAGAAAGTGATGAAATGCAAATAAGATAAAATTTCAATCTATACAGATTAATTAATAAAGTTTCTTTTAGATCTTCATGAAAATAAGAGCTAACTCTCCAATATTAAAATTAAAAACACAAGAGAACTACTCCAACCAATAAAAGCCTTGTTATGATATATCTGATATGAACCTACAAATATGATAAATTATTTCACAGATCGATTTCTCCTACGAATATGATCCTTTCTGATCTCACATTATATTACATATCCAGTAGAGTCCTATCTCTATTCTGGTTTAGCAGTCCCCATGTTGGGTTTATTTCTTAATTAGCGGCCCAGACCACTGCACACAAAAATAACTTTGATCGTCAGGCGGTTCCCAATCTACAAGAGTTTGCAACTGTAGGAATCAGCTTTCAAAATTGTGCTGTTTATTTTGAACACCAACCTTTTTCATTCAGAATGCAAAAAAAAAAAAAAAAAAAAAAGAAGGTAAATTAAATTAGAAACTAGCTAGGAAGACGAAAGTATCTAAAATTAAGATTCATTAAACAGAACCCCAAACATTACATTCTCATCCCACCCAACATAAAGTTGAGAAGATTGGGTCAATCTTTCCTAATATTCCAATCTGGGGCGTAGAGACAATTGGAACAGATACGAAAAGACCTAAACATAGACACAATTTTCGTTCTTAGTCGTTGATAATAGACTCTCTAGTGACAGAAGATAACTTTAAGTTCACGTGGCGAAGAACACTCATGCATGAGCGATGGACTATCGTGAGCATAAGTAAACGTGGCAGGACAAGCATGCTTGAAGAACTCAGAGAAACTCGAAGCCCTGCACGTCTGTGGACTATTGTAATGGTTCCTGCAACACAGCTCATCCGTTCCAAATGCCTGACATCCACTCTTGCACCCCACCACATGACCATGACCGTCCGGTGACCATAACTTTAGCTTATCTGGACAGGTGGCTAGCAGATTGGCCTTGCACCCTACAACGGGGCACACACCTTTGCCTTCGTGTGGGGTCACAGTCATGGGGAGGTTAAAACCGTCAACAAGGGACACTCCGTAAGAGGAGAAGTCCTTGTGGCCATGGTGGAGGGTGATCTGTGCCAGCGTTGCTGGGGGGCTCCACCGAGGCCATTGCATTCGATTCTGTTGTTGCAATCCCCTGTGACGCAGTGGAATTTTCCGTTTGAGTGGGTGCAGCCAGTGCGGCCCCAGATCCGGCCTGACCAGTGCTGGTCTGGTGCACGGAAGGAACGGTGAGTGAGAGATTGGAGAGGGAAGCCTCCCTTTTCTAGGACGGCGTGACCCGCGTTGGGCTGGATTGCTGGGTAGACAGTAAAGGGGCAGTTGTTGACGACGGTTAAGATAAGCTCCGGGCGGGCAGCATGGAAAAGGGTGCACAAGATAAAGAGGGCACTAGTGAAGAGTAGCATAGTTGTAGCCATTTCTCCTTTTGGTTCAAGGAATGAAGGTCACAGAATCGTACTACTTATAAGCATCAAGGGTTTGAAATAAGAACGCACAGGTTCGAGCTTTTTTCTATTACTCTGTGGGTGATCTCGTAATACCAAACATACCCTTCTTCTTGTGTGCTGAAAAGAAACGGAGAATCACCGTGTCTTCATACTATCAACGCCGGTGTAAACTAAACTTTATATTAAAAAAATTAAGATATATTAACTCTTTCAATCCATTCTTTTATCCAACTAAGGTAATAGCATCTTTGTAATCAGATACTAACACATGTCAATTCATATTTGAAAATATAATTTTTAAAAAATTGAAAATAAAAAATAAAAAACTAATAATTATTTAAAGATGAAAATAAATAAAAGGAAAAAACCAAAAGATTGATTATTTTTTAAAAAATAAAATAAAATAATTTTTCTTCTCTGTTTAGTTATTTTAAATTTTTAAATAATCACTATTTTTTTATTTTATTTTTTTAGAAAAAGATTAATTATTTTAAAAAGAGTTATTATTATATATAAATTATTTTTTCCTTTTCTTTTTTTAAATAATTTTTATTAATTAACTATTTTATTTTCAAATTTAGAAAAAATGATTATTTTAAAAAATAAAAAACGTTTTTATTTGAAAATTATATTTTTAGACATGAATTGATACGTGTAAGTATTTGATCGGATATATTTAAGTATTAGATTATCCGGATAATGAAATCGTATGAAAAAGTTAGCATGTTTCCATTTTTTTAATATATCAGAATTAAATAAAAAGGTTTCAATGATTAAAAGTTAAAAGTACAAGTAAATGAGGTGATTTTCACCGGAGGGAGGGTGATGAAAAATGTGCCTTTTGGAGCGTTTTTGCGTATTTCTGTCGGTCGCACGCTTATCCTTTTGAACTCCTAGGATGTGAGCCATTAAAATTTGGAAAAAGTGACGAACTCTAATACTGGTTTGAACGTTAATTTGAAGGAGTGAATCGCCATAGAATTATGCAGGAACTGGAAAAAGCCGAAGGCAGGAAAGGACGTGGATTCTCATGGCCATGACCCTGTACCCTGTCTATTTGAACCCTCATCGCAAAGGGGGCATTTTAGTCATTTAGGAAGAGAAGCAGGAAAAGTCGTAGACTAATCATGCGTTTTTCTTACCTACACAAGAACTACTGCCATGTTTGTATGCGAAAGGAAAGATTTGCTATTGGTTAGTGGCCCTATGTTGATTTTAGTACTAAGAAATTTTGCCTAATTTGCAATAAATATATATATTATTTAGCAAATCGACAAATTAAGAGTGGGATGAAACAAAACAACAAATATAATATATAAGAAGAGTACTATAAACTGCATGGAATGTGGTGACACTTTAACTATTGCTTGCTAATTATTTGTAAGCAAAACCATTAATTTTTGGCCTCGGTTTCTCGTTTGAGATTACTTAACCATGAAGGTCTGATTCGATAATCCCAAATACAGTTAAAAAGGATTAATAAAACAAAAGGGCAAAGGTGTAGGCACAAGTGGCCAAGTGGGAAGAGGAAAAGTAGTACATGTAATTTAATAATTTCTTGAACATTCAGCTTGGATAGTGTTTAAATCAGTTCTCTAAGTAGCTAATGGCAATCAGCTGTTTCGTCCGTAAAATTAATTCTGGTCTCTATTTTCATGAACTTAATTTCTATGGGAAGCAAATTCACGTTGATGTAGTAAAACCCAAAATCCTACTAACCAATGGCCCCTTTATGTCATTTTTTCAGAGAAAGGATCGTGTTTAGATCGAGGAATAATACCGGGCGGCGACAAACAAGTTGGCGAAAGAACACAGAAAAATCGAAGTTGTTTTGGGTTTAGGCCATCTTTTTTGGCCCGCCATTCAACACTATCAATTCAAAATGAATTTCTTTTCTGCTTTGTCTTTTTACTTTGTTTTGTTTGTTTCTTTTTTAGCCAGCCCTTTTCTTTTAATCTTTTTACTTTGCTTTGTCTGTTTCTTTTTTAGCCAGCCTTTTTCTTTTAACAACTAGCTACTACCATTTGGCACCTGCCATTATGTGAGATAAATTATCGAGGGCTTCCATGCAGTGTGATTAGGACGATCTACAGGTTTTTTATAATGGCACTACGCATCAACAAAGTTCTTCCTCCTTAATTGATAAGATTCCTTAAGATGTCTTCCTTTGAAAATTGAAATACCACTATTGCGTGATAGCATTGTAATGAGATATATGTAATCCGATTAGGATAGAACTCTATTGTATCTATCTTTGTATACCTGTATCTATCACATAAAATCATACAATACTATATAACCTATATATGTTAATATAGAAAACATTAAAGGTGTGGAATTCATCAAATAATAAACTTTTTCATAATATCAGAGCCGCAATTGACTTAGCAGTCAAAAATTTATTCCTCAGAATGTCAGAAACCAGGGCTTCAATAGCTCGTGTTTCCAATATAAATTTCCATTTGACAAACACTGCACCGGTTTCCTCACCGGATATCTCCCAGCAAACAACCATTAAACTAAGTTCCACCAATTTTCTTCTTTGGCAGAAGCAAATCCCGTCCATTTTAAGAGACCATAATTTCGTCCATCACCGGATTTATTATTTGGTTTTTATAGAAAATTCATGCTTACTACATGTTATATATAATATTGCTTGAATATAAAATATATTTGAACCATTATATATATAAAAATATATTAAGATAATATTTTATTTATTACTTTTGAAAAAAATTTAAAATACTACACAATTCAAAAGCATAAAATCAAATAATTCTGATAAAAGTTTCTCTTGATATATGTAGGAAGCACAATAAAACTAAAAAATATAAATAAAATTCATTTTTTGTCTATGTAGTAGCAAAATGAATATTTGTTAATTTGAATTTAAAGATAATAATGCTACAAATCAAGACATAAAAAGAAAAAAATATATATTTGTAACAAGTTACTTCATAAAAAATTATTAGTACGTGTTATATTATAAAATATTAATAATATCACATAATTAAATAAATACTAATATTTCATTTTCTTAACTTTCTTTAAATCCATTTCTCATCAATTCCTTAATAATACAAGTTTTTTAGTATCTCAAATTATAACCTTCAATTACTTGTTTCTACACCTTCTCTCAATATCTGAAATGAAAAAAAAAAAAAAGAGATATAATTTAGAGATTCATATGTTATAAAAGAGTTCACCTAAACGACTCTATTATCTACTATCTTAATTAGTTTGAGCTATACTTATACGCCTAATATTAAAATCTGAAATGAGATCCAATTCCTTGAAAAAATTGATTACACATGCTATAATTCTTACTATTAAATTTGAAACATATAAAATAGTCATTTTTGAATATATTCATTGTTTAACTCCACAACTATTATAAAAAGTATAAACACATTTAAAGAGGAAAAAAAAAAGCAAGCAATAATTTTCATAATTAGTTAATGCATAAAGAGTACAAATATAATGAGTTTAAATCCTAAATTTCAACGGAATCTCATATTTATATAGTTTTCTCATATTTAAATTTTTAATATTTTTAAAATATTAGATTTATTAAAAATAATATTATTTTTAATTTTAGATAGGTTACTATCTAATCAAATTAAGATATATGTATTTTTAATTATTTAATAAACGAAGTACCAAATTCAGGTTACAATCAAATCCAAATAAAGAAAACTACTTATCAATCCGATTCATTGACATTCCTAGAAGAAGTAATACATGCATAAGAGGAAATGCCGAAAAATTGAGAGGCCTGCTGGTCTCTTATAGGTCTCCGATAGCCTCCGCCATTGACTTTTCTATGAAATAATAATAATAATACATGTCAAAAATCAGTAACTCCAATTTTAAGTAAAAATGAGATTTTTCAGAAGTTTGCTTCCTTGTTTGCACTTCCATTTTTTTAAATTAAATATGCGATTGCTGCTCATATAGCATCCCTTTCATAATATCGGAAGAAGGATACGTTTGGCTTTTCCTTTTTGTGTCTCTCTGCGATTTCTTCTTACAAATCCAAACATGAATCCCAATCAATTACAAAACGTAAATAAAAAAACTAAGCAACAGAGTTGGATAGCGGACGCATGACCAAATATCCACACAAGTATCAAAATAAATATTTATAAACTTATCATAATTTATACAAACTAATATATATATATATATATATATATATATATATAATCTCAAAATACAATCATTTAAAATAGAGATCTTTGTTCTTTCAAGTCATAAAAATCATTTATAAAAAAATCTATACTAAAATTTTCAGCAATTTTTTTTTAATATACACTAACAAACTATAAAAAAGAAAGTTATCTTCCATCTTATTATGAGACTTAGTCTTGATTATGCTCATAGCTTAAAATGACCACTCCGTGTGTCGTAGAAGTTGAAAGAGTAATAGTAAGTGTTATCACTTTATATATAAGTGGATAACTTTTAAATTTTCTTATCTTCATCGACCAATGATATAAATTAAATATAGTTGACAATGTTTCGAAATCAAAAAAATTTTGTACATAATCAAAATACTTAAATTGCATCCTTAATTGCAGTATTTCATGATCGACAAAATCTTGAGGATAAGATTTATGCATCAACTTAAAGTTTAGTATGCTTAGTTTAATCCCTTATCTTAATTTTTTTCTCATAAGCAAAATAGTACTTAGCAAGGCTTGTCTTAATCCTTCGAGTTGTACTCAATTTTTCATCTCGTTTAGCACAAATTTTTATTTTATTTTTATTTAAATTTTTATATATTCAAAATCTATCTTCTTTTCATTTGTATTTCATTTTATGGTTTTTAGAGTTCATTTGGTATTGATATGGATTTATTTAAAAAAATCTCATAAATATTATATTTTTAGTGTTTGTTTCAATTTTTCATCTCTTTAACGTAGATTTTTATTTTAGTCTAGGTTTAAATTTTTATATGTTAAAAATAT